ACTTTTTAGGGAGGTGGGGGGGTGTGTGTGTGGGGGAAACAAAAGCAAACTTTTTTTTTTTTTTACACTATCAGTGCAGTTGCAGCAGCAGGATTGTTGCCGGGACTCTCGACCTAGATACTCCAGTGGGGAGGCCTGTTTATCATTACTGCACCAGTGAGGATCCCAACCTGATACAGGTGACATCCTGATCGGTCTTTCCCTCCCTTACGTGCTCCCTTTCTGCCCCCGTCTCTCTCCCTCTAAGCTTTTCACCTGATCCTGAAATGAACCGTACTGCACAGCACCCGCACGGGGAGATGAGCCAGCCCATTGCAGCTCTGCTCAGCCGGAGAAGGGCCAGTGAAGGAGAGGGACCAGACCAGACCAACCAGACTTTGGCCCTGACTGGCGTGCTGAGCCAGGTCCAGAACAACGGCTGTTATGACCAACCTTCCAGCCCAAAATATCTGTCTGTGACTGACCAGGCGCCCGTACCCTGAGAACAGCAACAACAGCTGCATTTCCCCCATCCCCACTATCCTCTCCCTTCTGTGTCTGCCTCTTTTGTCTGAAGAAGGAAAGCAACTATCATTCCCAATTCAGAATTAAACAGCAGAACTAAGTTTATTTCCTCACGCAGAAGGACTGGTTAACTGAATACGAGACTAACCAATATTCACTATCTCCAAAAACGGACTTTGATGGTTTTGATTAAGTTTGTTTTGCATAAATAATCAATTTCTGTTTCAGGGCTCTTTACCTCGTTTTGATTCTTTTCCTTTTGTGTGGTTCAATTAATACATTTCTAACATTTGGCATGAATTTTATAGTGTTTGCCGGCGAAGAAGCAGGCTGAGGTCTCTGAATACCAAACCCCGAACCTAGTTTAACACCATTTAATGTTGGATAGTGACTGGTTTATGTTAACACCTTTAACTCTTTGGGCCCATATATTCTATCAAAATGAATACAATAGCCCTTAGAAAGTCTCTGGTGTTGCTGTAACTGACCTCCTCCTCCAAATCCCTGGTGGTCACTGTCATAACATGTAGCAAAGACTGTAGCACAGACAAGCATAGTTTAGTGTATTCTGATGTTCAGTGCTCAGCATCCATACTGCCCCTGCCTCACCCCTGTCCTCACAAAGGACACATTTTTTGGCTTGTGCCCCACTCTGCTCTTTTATGAAACAGCCTCAACATTTTGTCCAAAAGAAAAATCACATTCCACTTGTTCTATTCACATTAGCAGTATCAGGTGTTACAATTTTTGTCCTCCCTGGTTTTGCCGGATGATCTACTGGAAAACTGAAGTGGAAGCTTTCTCAGCTCTGAAAAGCAGGACACAGGGATGGTGAATCTTCTACAGAGAGATTTGTCTCTTGAAAGTTAGTTGTGAATTGAATTCAAACAAGTTTTCACAAAACCAAAAGAGAACCCCTCAGTTTTAAACAATCGGACTAAGGAACCCACCCTGTCACAATTGCTCAGGTTACAGTCTCTTGTGATGTCCTAACCCCTCTAGTCTCCAGTCTTCTGACGAATCCACCAGCACAAAGAGACAAGTTGAGATCTGATTTTCACAGTGTAAAAGGCAGGAGGGAAAAAACACTTGTTTGAAAATCTGTGAAGCCTCTCTATGAATCATAAAGAAGCAAAAAAGGTCACCAACTTTATTTTTTCTTTGCAAGACTTTTTCACCTCACAACCCACATTACCACAGGTTTCCTCCTGCATGAGCAGGCCAGCCATCACGCTCCAGGAGTCAAGCCTCTGACACTTCAGAGCTGGTGGTGCAATTCTAACCAATGCCCCAGGCGTCCAAGCAAGGAGAGCTACGTAGCACACAGCAGCAGACATGCTTTATCAGAGACCACCTAACTGCAGGGGACACATCTTATTTACAAGCACTGCATCTCGTAAGCTAGGACTGCAAAAATGCATCTCTGACAGCAGGACTGCTGCCTCTCAGAAATCAGGTCTTACTGTGGCCGGTTTGGTTCTGCATGTGAGACAGGCAGGGAGAGGAAGGAAGGAGGCCTCCAAGCATGCACAGCACAATTTTACTCTTATCTGCAATGTAAAGTGAGTCAACAGCAGAGTCAGGGGAGGAACAGAGCAGAGGAAGCCAGCGTCCACTGTCAGCATTTTGTTTCAGGCCTGAGAACGAAAAGGGTCCGGACTAAGCGGCGGGAAACAGATCCATAATCAGGGAAACACACATGGTTGGACAGTAGGGGGTTAATACAGAATTTTTTCAGGGACTCAAGGTAAAAACTTTTGACTGAGTCAGGAATTTCCCTGCATGAGCCATCACTGCAAAGTAAACAGTTAAACCACTGCCTACAGAGGGGAGGAAAAAAGATGTCTTCCAATCAGCATTAGAGAAAAAAGGAGTGACCCGAGATTCCATCAAGCAGAACAAGCAGAAAAGGCAGATGCACGGCACTCACCTCTTCCACGGTCCATTTGGCCACGCTCCTGGCAGTGAGGCCCGAAACCTCCGGCAGCAGCCTGCAGTGCTGCTCCCAGCAGAGATGGAGGCGGTGGGTCGGGCTGGAGGACAGGGAGGGCATGAAGACAGACTGATGGAGGGCCTGCTGCAGAGTGAATTCTGTGTCTGGAAACAGAAACAAGAGGAGTCAGAGTCAGTAGTCAGTCCTCAATTTGAAGCAATACCAAAAAAAAAGAAAAAGTGTGTGTGTGTGTGTGAGTGTGTGTGTGTGTGTGTGTGTGTGTTAACACTTTGAAAGGGGAGAAAGGTGGGGCAGGAGCACAGACTGCTATTCCATGGCACACTGCACTCTGAGCATGCCCCCAAAGAAGGGAAGGAAAAAACCAAAAGCAAGGCTGCCAGGCTGGCGACGTGATCGTTAGCTGTTTCTAGGCAAAATGACGTCCTGCTGCTAACACAGACGATGTTTGCAGCGTTTTATTGACAAGGTGGAGGAGTTCTGGTAACAGCATCTTTGGCTGGAAATAAATGGCACCATTCCAGTTCACAGCCCGTAACAGTGCGACGCATGCCAGATGATGGCCTGGACCAACTCCCTCCCCCACAAGAGACTCCAAAGCCAGTAATGCTCTAGGTTACCTCCAGACACCAATATTGCGCTCCATTTGTCAAATGAGAGTGAGGCTTAAAAAAAAAATCACTCCCCCGCCTTCCCCCCCCGCCCCCATGAGCTCACTTGATAAGTGCAGAGTCATGGTCCTAAAGGGATTTGTCTGGTTATACAATGGGAACTGATGCAAAGGATGGAACAACATAGAACACGTTCCTCTGGGTTATAATGGTTAATGTTTACTGTCCCCTCTCCTCCCCCCACCAATACAAAAGGGAAGCATTTCTAAACCTTGGAATACTTCATGTAAGATTATGGTCAAGGTTAATGGTGCCACCATGTGGCAACAAAGAATTATGCTTTGCTACTTTACTGGCAAAAAATAAAAGCATATAGCAAAGATACAGTTTCTTCCCTTGTCACCCCTCTAGGGCCACTGAAAAGTGCTGGGATGGCTCTTGTGATTAAAGTCCTGCAGACTTTATCCAGAGAAGAGGTGCAGCTTGCCCCACATTGCCCTGGCAATGTACTTCACCCTTATTCTGGAGGGCCACCCATAGATAGGGGTGAGAAGGAACTGCAGACTCCATGGGCCATTTAGGTACAGTATTGGCCTTTCTACTGAGACTACCGATTGGTGCTCGTTGTGGTGGTGGTTGGTGATGTTCCAGTAGAAAACGGACTGAGGGTACGTCTACACTGCAGTCAGAGGGAAGCGTACCCAAGCTAGCTTTGATCTAGTTAGCTCCAATAACAATAGCAGTGAAACTGGGTAGCACCAGCACAGCTAGTGGCTCAAATACGTCCCAGAGCAGGGCTGTGCAAGCGCAGGTTACCTAGGGAGTTTGCGGAATCCCCATCCTTGGAGGATTATAAGAACAAGTCAGACCAGGGGTGCGCAAACTTTTTGGTCCAAGGGCCACATCTGGGTTTGGAAATTGTATGGCGGGCCATGAATGCTCATGAAATTGGGGGTTGGGGTGTGGGAGGGGCTGAGGGCTCTGGGGTGGGGCAAGAAATTAGGAGTTCAGGGTGTGGGAAGGGGCTCCGGACTGGGCCAGGAGGTTGGGGGAGGAGGCAAGGGCTCCAGCTGGGGGTGTGGGCTCTTGGGTGAGGCTGAGGGGCTCAGAGGGCAGGAGGGAGATCAGGGCTAGGGCAGGGGGTTGGGACTGAGGAGGTGGTCAGGGGTGCAGGCTCCGGGCGGTGCTTACCTCAAGCAGCTCCTGGAAGCAGCGGCATGTCCCCTCTCTGGCTCCTATGCATAGGGGCAGCCAGGGGGG